ATTTGAGAGTCGAGAGTTTAGATCTTAGCAACAAGATCTGAGGAAGTAGATCTTAGCAACAAGATCTGAGGAAGTAGATCTTAGCAACAAGATCTGAGGAAGTAGATCTTAGCAACAATATCTGAGGAAATAGATTTGAGAGTCGAGAGTTTGGATCTTAGAGTCAGATCTTAGCAACAGATCTGAGGAAGTAGATTTGAGAGTCGAGAGTTTAGATCTTAGCAACAAGATCTGAGGAAGTAGATTTGAGAGTCGAGAGTTTGGATCTTAGCAACTAGATCTGAGAGTTTTATCATTTCCGGCATATTGGGCCGAAAAGGAGTGATCCGCGTAAGTATGAAAAAAAGTGAATTTTGTTGTATGGTGTTTTTTATTATATCCGTTTCTCTCACAATTTTCAATAAATATTATTGTTCAAACGGAAATATAAATAAACAATTCAAAAATAAAAATGTAAATGTAAATTGAAAATGTATTATAAACATGCTACAAAGCGTATATTTTAAACTTAAAGGAAAAATGAAATTCGTAAAAATGAGCATGATGTTTGATAAGGGAGTTTTAATTTTTTTTCAAAAAAATTAAGGAACTTAAATTGAGATTATCAGGCTATGTAGTGGGTATTTTTACGATCTGACTGCAGAAATCGAATCAGCGAGACCCGAAGATTCATATTCCGCCGGAAAAATAGGGTTTCGAGGCGTAGATAGGGATAAAAAGATGCTTTAAGAAGATCTCAGTAGAAATATGGTTTATAAGAGGATATAGGTCAGGATATAAGATTATGAAAATTGAAGAAGTGAATTATCAAGATGTATTTATGAGTAAACTATATTGTTTTAAGCTATCTAAATCTGTTTTGATATAAATTAAAGCGTATACTTATGCAAAATGCGAAATTTAAATTAATACTTTTTTTTTGCTATTTGGACACAAAGCTAACCCATCCAATAAATGACGTATACCTAGCGAGATGAAGCATTTTAACATGAAAGACAAGAAAATCTGATTACTTGTGTTGAAAGTTTCTGTATTTCGTCTTCTTCCAAACACAGCGTTCAGATGCAGAAGAAAATGCAGCCGTAATGACGCAAAAAGACACTAAAATAAATTAGAGAATTTCTGTAAAGTTTTTACTGAGCTTTGTTATTGAACCCGAATTTGTTGCTGAGTGACAGGATATTAAATCTACGACATTCATGAGTAATTGTTATCAATTTGTCAATAAATTATGTTGAAGATGGTTTAAATGTCTTCGAAGGCATGAAATTAGATCCTAAATCTGTTTGAGTTAATAAAAGAGAACAAATGTTGAAAGAGTTGTCATATTGCCTACAAAATTTTCAAACATTTGCATTGAGACAATGTGAAAAAATGATGTCCAAAATACCTTTACTAAAATATTTTTAATTTGAATCATAACAAGGAAAAACAATAATGGCAGAATAAGAAAAAAAAACAAAGATGTTATGATTTGAACAGTTGCCTTTTAGATTCAAAAAGAGCATAGTGTTCCCAACCCCTACACTACCTTCCTTTCTGATAAAAAGCTGAATAATTAGTATTTAATGAATTCTCCAGCTTGGGGATTTGCGGCTTTTCCAAAATCTGTTATGATAGTTCTATATAGCAATTGATATATAATATGTTTTTTATAATCAAATAATTTTTTAGTCCAGATAAATTTTTTAAAATTTCAAAGTCTTTCCATTCTACTAACGCTCTTCACATCCATATTCTTTACCATATATGTAATATAACGCCTTATTTTAATTCCCATGTTTACGATTTATTTGTCGAAAAACTGTCTTGCCCATTAACATCTCGGAAAAATTTTCGACTTTTTGAATGGCCGTTTTCAAGATCTCAAAAACTGTGGGATATTTTTTACAAAGCTTATCGACATTTATTTACCACATATATGTACTATACAATGCACCTGGTTTCATCGAATTTTTACCGTCAGTTTTCTCGTGAGACTACCTTTGTTAATTTTTTTAATGAATTATAAATAAATATATTTTAATGCATCGTCTATATATAGACGTCACAAAAAAAGTCACTAAACCCTTCAACATATACTACTTATTCGGTCATTTTTTTAAAAATTAATTTTTTGTTAGAGATAAGAGCTAAAACTTTGCAGACAACTCCCCCATGTCTAGCAAATTTAACATTCGTCTCCCATTTTTATATATTTGGTTTAGAATGTTCGAAAATGCGTAATATGGTCATGAATATTAATTGAAAAGAACCTTGAATTAATTCAATCTGATCTCACAAAATATTTTAAATTACAAACTTTGTAGTTTGAATAGATAATTAGTAGTAAACTCAAATAACTAGTTTATTTTTGAATAAAATTATTTGAATTTATTCAGTTTTGTGAATTTTCCTTCAAAAATCAAGTTTAAATATCTTATTTGCCATATAATTATAAATACAATGAAACATATTCGAAATTGAAAAGAATGACTTTTTCTGTTCTTTCAATCATTCAATTTGAATTTTGCAATATTGGATTTCCCATTAAATAGCTATTAAAAACAACAAGCAATTTAACTTACATTCAAATTTATTTGTGTTATATTCAATCTTCTCAAAACTTATAATTTTCGGCTATAGCATGATTATATGCTATATAATAAACCTATAATTGTATCATTCTTTCAATTATTTGAAGAGAAAACCGAAAAAATCTATTTTCGGTCTATAACAATTTGCACCTCGAATCTCTTAAGATTTAGGAGCTTCATTTTCTCTTTAATACAATATTACGAATTATTTCTTTTTTAACGACTTTCTCAAAATTCTTGAGAAAGATCTTTTACAGTTTATGCTTTATATCGACATAAATATGATTAATTTTTAGCAAGTACTCTTTATGCTTTTATCATCATATTGTCGATTAATTATTATGTACTTTTTATCCAAATTGGTGAAATTTCTCACATGTTTCAATCATATTGATCAATTAATTGCTGATGAATAAGATCACCAACAAGCATGAGTGCCTAACTAATACTTTGAGCTTCCTAATTTCTCTATTATATTTCTTCATAAAATGAATTCATATGTCTCATCAGATCATTTATATAAATTTATGATCCCAATATATTACAGTTATTATAAATATTATTTACATCGTTCAAAAGCAAATTATTATTTTGTGCTCTATAAATTTATCAAAGATCTTTAACTATAATATCAAATTCTCAATTATCTGCTATAGCATATTCATATTTTTGATTTTCAAAAAGTTTTTTTATAATGAGCCTCCCCATGAACATGTCAAAAAATGAAATTACGATTCTCAATTCGTGAATTATTCAATTATCGACCAACCATCTTGTGATTAACTTTTTCTTTTTTAGATCCTATCATTATATATATTCTCTTTTTGGCAATAGTATTCTGATGGGAGCTGGGAAATTTGAAAAAGAAATATTTTTTTAATTTTTAATAAAAACCAAACACATTTCGGCGGCTTGCATATATTCATAAAAATGCATTCTATGATTAACATTAACTTAAACAGTGTCAAAAACAAGCAAATAAATGAGAATTGCTCAATTTCGATTACAATTTTGAGGATAAGATGATCTTATACGAATAATATGCAACATTTCAAGATATATTTATTGAACGTACGACTAACTATGAGTATTTTACTCATTTATTACCGAATTTTCTGCTGTTTTCAGAAACATTTCAAAATTAAAAGAAATTGAAAAATTGAGATCGCGCAACGTCAAGTTCTAGAGAATCAAAACCTGATAGTAAATATGCTAAATATAAGCCTTCGAGAAGGCAAATATTGATTTTTGTTGTATCTATTGAATTTTTTTTGTTCATAAAATTTCATTCAAATCTTGACACTAAGTAACATCATGAACTGAATAAGCAAGTGGAGATAATTTATTCGTTACTATCTCCAAGTCTATTCTTTCCAAGAATATTATTTCTGGAGACATTTTTGAAGAAATACCAACAATAACTTCATTGTTTTTTATATGTAATTGTATGGTGTTCATAATCTCCTACTTATAGTAGATATTCACGAATTAAATTTTCAATTCAAATTTAAGTGTATTTTTTCAAATTGACAAATAAATATAGAGCTCAAGTTAGAAGCTTTGGATTAACATATGTGAATCAAATGATAGATATGACTATTTGGATCTTTTAGTTCGAATATGAAAGAAATCTAGGTTATATTACCGAAGTTTGAGAGGGTTCTGAGATAATTTATAAAAGACTGCACTGGCATTGCATGAAAAGGATCTCATTATATAAGTTTGATAGTAAAAGAAGGGGAAGCTATGTGATAAGAAAGTATCGTTAAATACTACAGAGCTGCTTTTATATATTAGATGCAAAATGATCAGTTCTGCATCATGAATTTCGTATTCAAAATTTCTCTTATTTTTATTTTTTTCAAACATGTTTTAATTAAATATATGATCCGAAGTATATACAGTGCAAGTAATAAACTCCGATCAAGTCACTGAACAGTATCATTTGTCCAAATGTGAAGTGAAAATATAAAATGATCAAATAATTTTTTTCATGACCATATTTGTTATTTAATTTGATATGATTAAATTTCAGATTTGAAAAGATTGAATGGTTAACATCAAATTGAATATTTGAATAAATTTTATTAGGAATATTATTCTTAACATTATGATTATATTCTAAGCATTTTTTGACAAAATATTGTCTTGAGAAGACTGCAATTTTACACAATGAAAATCAAGATTGTTGAGCGCAGGAGTACGCAATAAATACTAATCATCTTTCCGAAGATTTACATTTCAAGTTCGAAATCTTGATTTCACCGATAGAGGCATACAGACTAGAATAAATATACAGTACAATACATAATCTTTGTTACTATCGGATCAATATCGATTTTTGAAGATTATATTTTTCGCATAAATTTTACTTTTTTGAGAAGCCCGCATAAACTATACAAATTTTACATCCCTTCACTTTTAATGTCAGATCTCGCCTCTTTACTTGCCCAGCTTGGCCAGAACAATCAGGCTAAGCCAGCAGCACCAGATGGTCAACCAGCTCCATCACCATTTGTAAATTTGAATCTTAATTTCCAAGCTCCACCTCCACAACAACAACAGCAAGCAAATCCATTTGCTGCTTTACAATTACCTGCATTTCAACCAGCCCCACAAAAGGCTGGAAACAATCCACCAACGCCACCACCACAATTCCAACAACCTCCACCACAAACTTACAATGATAGTCAATTTGGCACAAATTTGCCACCAACACGCGAAGCACCTCCACCATTTGGTCAATTACCAACATTCCAGCCACCACCACAACAAACTTCATTGCCACAATTCAATTTCAACCCACCACAACAGCAGGCACCACCTCAATTCAACGCACCACCACCACAATTCAATGCACCACCACAGCAGACATTCCCAGCAACACCAAACTTCAACATCAACGTAAACATCAGTGTTCCAGAGCAACCACAACAAGAGAGCGAGTCAAAGGAAAAGCACAAACGCTTCGAGGAAGACAACACAATCAGTGTCGAATTCATCCAATTCTCAAAGCACCCTGATTTCCAAGTCGGAAATACAGTTCAATATGATCCAAACGGCGGCAAATCCATCCAAGCCGTCATCGACAATGTCAAGAACGGCACTGTCATCGAGATTCCTGCCGGTGAGTACAACGAAGAACTCACAATCATCAAATCAGTCGCACTCAGAGGTATCGGCCAAGTTACGATCAAAGGCGAAGGAAAGACAGATACAATCTGCACTTCCAACCAATTCGTCGTTCTCGAGAACCTCCGCCTTGTCCAGATTGAGACAAGAGGTGGTGGCGCTTTGACAGTCCAGTCCGGCTACATCAAGGCCACAAACTGCGTCTTTGAGTCCGTTACAATCTCCGCTGCCCAGATTGTTGGAGATTCTTATGGCGAATTCAACAACTGCACATTCCTCAACTCATACAACCCATGCATCATGTTGTCTGACAAGGTACAGGGATACTGCTCTGGCTGCGAATTCCGCGGCTCAAGAACATTCGGTGCCCTTGCAAATGATAACTCATACCTCACATTGGAGAACTGCCGCTCCACAAAGAACGGCGGATCTGGTGTTTCTGCCAATGGAAACGGCAACGTTTTCATCCAGGGAGGCATATTCTACGACAACGAGTCATCCGGTGTCGAAGTCACCTCCAAGGGCTCAATCACCATCCAGCAGGCCACAATCTGCGACCACGAGAACGGCACTGGCGTTCTTGTACAGGGCGCTGATGTCAAGGTTATTCTTGTTGAGTCAAACATCAAGAACAATCAACTTGCAGGCATCAAAGTATCCGATGGAGCCAAACTCATCTCCAAGTCGAACAAGTATTCCGATGCACAGCAGAATGTCATCGCTTACGCCCACATGAAGGGCTGGATCACTCTCGACAACGATGAGTTCTCCGGCGAGTGCATTGCGGCCGTTGCAACATCCGATGCAGGCAGAATCGACGCAAAGAACTTGGACATCCACGATCTGACAAACGCAGCTGTTCTCTGCTACGACGGCGGTGAGTGCAACATCGACGGCGCCACAATCAACAACTGCGAGCACACAGCTCTCCAGTTCAGAGACAACGCCGACTTCTACGTCAAGAACGTCAACATCAACGGCATCAGAGATCTCGCAGCAGCTATTCTCAACGACTCAAAGGGCAAGATGAAGGACTGCCGCATTGTCAACGGCCAGACAGTTGGTTTGGAGTTGACAAATGTCAAGGATGTCAAGATCAAGCGCTGCACATTCTCCAACAACCAAGTCTGCGGCGCATCCATCCACGACGACGTCACATGCAAGTTCGACGAGTGCACATTCGAACAGAACGGACAGTTTGGCGTTGACACATCATCAAACGACGTCAAGGCAGAGTTCAAGCACTGCAAGTTCGCTGAGTCACCAGAAGCCATCATCAATATCACTAATGGTGCTCAGTCAGAATTTGAGAACTGCACAATTTCCAACGGTCCAAAGATCGGCCTCAACATCATCAATTCATCACCAACATTCAAGGGATGCGAGATCACCAGAATCGGTGTTGCCGCCATCTCATGTTCCGGCGGTGCCACACCAACATTCGACAACTGCAACATCCACGACAACGAGAACTTCGCAGCACAGATCCACCAGTCACAGACACACGCTAAGTTCATTGAGACATTCATCCTCAACCATCCAAAGTCTGTCGCAATCATCGCTCTCAACAACGCTGTCGCTGAATTCATCAGGACAAAGTTCGAGAACTCATTCCAGCCACACTGCGAAATCCGCGAGGGAGCAACAGTTTCCCTTCTCGGATGCGATGTCGGACCAACAGACAACGGCACAGGTATTCAAGTTCACTCCGAGGGTATTTTGCAGGTCGATTCATCACGCGTACACGAGTTGTCTAAGATCGGTATCTTAGTTGGAGACAAGGGATTCGCTGAGATCAAGAACTCCGCAATCGAACACTGCGGAACAACAGGTATCTTAGTTGCTTCAGGCGGAAGAATGAACGTTTCTAAGACAATCTTGGATGGAAATGGACAGCTCGCTATGCAGTTCCTTCCAAATGTCGACGCCACTGTTACAGAGTGCGTCATCCAGAACCACTCTATGTTCGGTTTCGTTATGGCACGCGGAGCTAATGTCGAGTACTCAGATAACCAATTCACAAACAACGGACAGAAAGATATTTACATCAACTAAAAACATAATTAAGGATTTTTTTATATTATATTTTCAAATTTTAATTTTTTTTTATATTCCAAGAGACTTTTAAATATATTACAAATATATAGTGTATGAATAGTCTAGTTTAGGGTTGTTAGATTCCCGACGATAGGTGTCTTGGAAGATTTGCCTGGTGTCATCATAGTGTCTTTAAATCAAAAATTTTATTTTGGAGTTAGTTTTATTGATTTTTCAATAAAAAACATTTCTAAAACAAGAAAATAAAACGATAAAATATTTATATTTTATATAAGGATCTTATATATTTAAAATAAATATCATTTTATTTTTTTCATTGGTGTCTGTCAAACCATAATACACTATTCAAAAATTCAATGTGTCTTGCGGTTTCAAAAGACACCTTCAAATTGAACGATAGCACAGACACTATTGAATTTTACCCATTGTATTTAGTTTTTACCCTTTTTATTTTTAAGAATTAATGACTGAAACAGCCGTTTTGCTATGACCTCAATCACTTTTATTTATTATTTTAAATATTATTTAATTTTATTATTTGAATAGGCCAACTTATATTTGAGAAGCTCAATTTGAGACCACTTAATACATTGAAATATCATAAATATTGAAATATTAAAAAGTGTATTTCAAAATATTGAAATTATAAAAATTTATAATACTGAAATTGAGACAAATTAATAAATTCAATGTGTTTTTTTTGAAATAACTCTCAAATATTATTTTTTTGTTTATTTAATGATGAATAAATATGATTGCTTTAGTCAATCATAAAAACTAATTTAAGTTTAAAATAATGAAAGGATAATTTGATCGTTTTTTAAAATACAATTATTTTTGATGATTTGCAAGAATCTTTGAAAAGAATATAATATAGGTTCTATTTTTGTAAAATTTATCCAAATCATGTATTACATAAATTACGATTAAAACGATGAAAGAACCAAAAAGTGTGTTTTGTGTTTTGTTGTTGCGTGTTGGATGCGGGATCCTGTTATTTCCGAAATCGACAAAAAATTTGGAAATTTAATTTCCGAAATCGAAATTATATTAATGTTTTTAATATTCTTATATCAAAAGGATTAAAGTTCATTAAGAGAAAAACAATTCTTCTTCTTCAATTTATTGGCGCATTTATTTCTACACGCCAATAAGGAAGAAAAAATTATAAGACACCATGGTGTCTTCAAAACGCTAATTTTTGATATTTTTAACAAACCTAGTCTAGTTTTTATACATTTCACACTGTAAAGAGGTAGGGCAACGATAGAAAATTTTTGGAAAAAAAGTTCGGAGATCTTAAACGTATCATATTCCCTGCATGGTTTGGTATCTTCCGCCATGCGTTGTGCCAAACATATTGACACTTTCCAATAATTAATTTATGGTATGAGTCACAGAGTTAGATTATAAAAAGAAAGTAAATAATTGCAATTAGAAATCATATATGTCGGAAATCAAATGTTGATGAGCAGAAACCTTTTACTCATCATAAAAGAGATAAATCACTAAAGATTTGTATACATTAAAATTTGATATTTGGTGCTCGAAAACTGTCTGATGGGACTCCTCCAAAATGAACCAATCTATCGCTGAGGACCAAATTAGATGATGTGGATGGTGTATTCTCTAATTCTAACTTAGGAAGAATGGGAACAAAACGAATGACGACAACAACATGTCAAACATAGATTAAATATCTATGAATCAATAAAGTATACGTGCATTGAAGGTGATAACGATCACTTGAGGCTTATAACTCTTTGACTAAATTATGCAATAATTAAATATAATTATTTTTATATTTTTATATTTTTATACTGATAGTAATTAATATACTATCCTGCTTAATAAATGGTATGATCAAATTTGTTTGAAAATTTAATTATGTATATGAAACTATGTCTTCTATATAAAAATCAAAATTTTCGGACGAACCTAGATTGAACCTTTATGAAAATCTATCATTTATGTTAATTGAGTTAATATGAATCTTTTACATATGTATATATAGCATTGATAGCTTATATAATCATGGTTTATTCCATATTAACATATTTTTTCAGTTAAAATTGTTAATAATATCATGTAACAAATTAATTCAAGATTAGAATGTCTACAAAATGCTAACAAATAAGAACAAAATACGATTTCTCGACTTAAATTTTAATATGGAGTAGTTTTTCGTTTAAATCTAATTAAAAATGAATAAAAACTTATCTTGTACTATTTTCATTCAAAGATTTTAATAATGTAAATCATGCATTTTCATAATTCAGTACAGTTCTTTTTAGAATTAAAGTTGATGAGGATGATATTTGTGATTTAAAATAATTTGTTAATGTTCACCTTTTATTCATCACCTTGTGGTATGCCCTAAAGCAATAGCATTATCAATTCTGCTGAATTGATCAACTCAAAATTCCAAAAAAATTCAAAATTTCAAAAATGAAATTAAACAATTTGAATTTTCACATGAAAAAATCAATTTCGAAAAAAATTTGGAAAATCAAAGTATTTGATAATTAGTCAAATAATCAATTTATATCGTTTTTACTCATAAAAAACAACTAATTTTTGATTTTGATATCATATTTGATAAATACTCATTCCAGAGTTGACGTAATGTATTAATTATTGTTAGAGATATTGCTTTCGCAGCAAAATTCTTATTTCATGAAAGAAAAAAAAATGATTTTATTCCAACAAAAACACGTAAACAGATGAATGGAAACGTACTATATTTTCATAAATGTAGTAATCAGCGTGTCAGCTTTTGTTTATCATGTTCGAGTCAAAATGTATTAACTTGTAATAAGAAATATTCGAAGATTATATGAAGTATTGAGCATTCTTTGTAGAAATATTTGTAATTCATTACTAACATATATAATAAAGTTGTTTTTTTTTCCTTATTGCAATAATTTTGTCTGATTTTAATAACTTTTCATGTATACGAGTTGTGTGAATATGCATCATAATATGCGTAAATATACTTATTTGCGACGAATAATGTGGTTGCATAATGGAGGTGCTAAATTTTGATTTTTAATATGGGGCTTTGGTATGTATAATCATGTTCTTATCTCAACGTAGGAGTATTGGTGCAATATGATTAAAATTTACGAGGTTGATCTTAAATTGAATAATTCTGGAGTATAAATCACAATGCAGCTAATTCTATGTTAAAGATAGATACAGATTGTAGTAATCAATTAGGGAGTACAAATTCATTCTTTCATTTCTGTCGTATTGAGCAGAAAGGAAGAGATCATAACCCTAGGAAAAAAGCCCAAATTTGTCACTTTTCATAGTACGTTAAACTCAATTCGCTCGGCGAATGCCGAGCACACGTACTCATCATTCAACATAATATTCTCATTCTTTGGTTATTATAGTGCCAGACAACACAAGATTTCAAAGAATTACTTGAGTTTTCAATTAATCTTAATCCGATTTTAGATTTATCGAGAACTCCATCATCACAATCACATACTTCAGTGCGGTAACTACAATTATCCATATACAGAAGGAAGTTCTTTTCGAACAACTCATTTGGAGTCTGTTTTGGAAAGAACTTCTTTCTGTCCGACTTAATTTCATAGTTCCTGATCAACCAAAAGACAGAAACCACACACTATCTACTTAGGAAAGGAGTTCTTTCTAAATCTTCCTTAAATTGAGATTTTACGAGAGATAACCCTTCTATTGCACTTAAAAATGAACATTTTGATATCTTTAGTATCACACATGGTCATATATAGTATTTCATCTACATAAATACATTCATCTTTCGAAGTCTCTCATTAAATGGGAGGTTTCGAAAGATGAATCGTTTTATTCATACAACTTTAAATCTCGAACACATTTAGAGAGTGAGTATATCATTTTATTCTTGTTTTGAGTTTATTCTGATTCAAAATTGCAGTGAAAACAGAAATTCACACATCATATCTGAATGTGAGCTCATCTATACTTATACGATCTCAATACCTCCACTCTAAGCATAAGAGGTGAAGTTATATAAAAATTATCAGATGCGTTGAAGTCTCAAAAGTATTGCCTGAATGCTTGTTTCATATTTGTCCAAGTAGTTTCAATGAATAAATGTATTGTTTTTTATAATTTCGATTTATTTTTAGAAAATATTCAATATAACCTTTATTGTGTTATTTACATCTCATAAATTCTCTGTCTAAATCATATAAAAGCGCGTTTTACCCCTATGAATCAAGAAATTCATTCAATATTCATGGTATATTTATTAAATTTATACGATTTACTAATAATCAATATTATATCCTCATAAATAGCAATATATTTTGGTAATCTATGATAATCATATACAATATTTGAAATCAAATTTTCATTAGTTTAGGTTCCTTGTTAATAGTAAACCATTATATTTATTACTAATAATAAAATCTATGTGTCGTATTGAAATTCAATAAAATTACTTATTCGGTCCAAAAAAACAAATTAGATAAAATTTTTCTTTTTTTATGTAATTTTTGTTTTTCATTTTTCTCAAGATCCTAAGTTATGTTCTAACTTTTGACATCATATCCTATCATGCTAGGCTATATATTATAGCATATCCAAAAGGCAAGGAAATCTATCAGAGAAGCCTTTTTGACCTATCGTTGCCCTACCTCTCACTGTAATCTTACTAAATTTCATAAAGTCATTTCCTAAAAAGTGACATTTTATGCAACATTCAAAATTCAATTAAACCGATAAATTTCACCATCTCAAATTCATTGAGAATAGATCCGCTTTCAAATTCAAATCATTGTGAATGTCCTGGTTTTACTACAATCACCAATGGTATAATTAATACAACAGGAGATTATTTAATTGACATTGGTTCATATGGTCAAGATATTACTTTTTCATTTGCAGATAACGAATCATTTAGTTATTATTTTATTATAGAAGATGTATATATGCGCCGTCACTTGTATATTAACTATGAATCATGCACAAGCAAAATATGG